AAGTCCAGAACCCAGCAAGCTACAAAAGGAAGAGACCTTTTTACTAATTTCTTTAAATGAGGCAGAGGGGGATTAAGGGGGTGACAATTTTAAAGATGGTGATGTAAATGCAGATTTGCTGCTTTAAAAAGGGTGTGATGGATCTTATAGACTGATATGTAAATTACTGTATGAGTGAACTGGGGCTGTCCCTCCTGCTCAACAAAAGTTAAAATGTCCAAAAAGAAGAAGAGTATGAACATCTAAAATCTAATTTAAATCTAAAAATTCACTGTGATTTCCTTTATCTCTTTATCTATTTAAAAAAACACCCCATTCTGCCCACAATGGAAGATTCACATCCTGTGTTTGCCCAGATTATTAATTGGAAAAGTAACAAACAAGGAAATGTGGGAGTATGCAGAGGATATGATCTCTAAAAGCTGAGATAGTGAAACGACTTTGCAAAAAAATAAATGGTTTTCCCAGCTGTATGGGGAAGCATTAAATGTTGCTTTGAAAGTTGATATCACACCCCTCTTCATTTGTCAATTAACAGCCGTTGATTAAGTTTGCCGATTGAAAAGAAGACAAAGTTAGAGAGACCTCAGTACGTCGGCTTGTCTTCCTGTAAAGGCTGCAGAGACGGAGTGAAATTTGAATTAGACATTTTAAACTAGATGAGAAGAAATAAGAACTCAAACAGGTCAGGTTAGATTAAGAAATATAATGAGGAGCATCTGGGTGAAATATTGTTGGAAAGTACATCAGGCACAGAGCACAAAGCCGTGTGTGCAGGTTATTCTTACAAACATCTTACTACTTCTTCAGCAGCTTTTTTTAAGAAAACTTGGCAAAAAAAACTTGTCCCCTGAGCTGTGTGTTTTCTATCTTTATCTGTGACTAAACACGGCCATTATAAATCACGTTCCCCTAATAATTATTACGAAACTCTGCATGAATTCGCTGGATGACCCCATGCTTGGACAGACTGCAATAATATGATCCTTTTGGGAAACTGAAGTGTCAAAACTAATTTACGACCTTGCAGGACTTGACAACTTTCAAGTGTTTTTTTTTTCCCTCCACTAGCTGCGAGAGCCCTGGAGTCTGTGTCAGCACTAATGGCAACATGTGTCGTTTGCTATCTCACTCGCTGAGTGGTACAAAGGTAAAAGGAAGCTTAAAGGCCTGGGAAATGTGGAACAGTGTGAAATTACCTTGATCCAAGGATTCCTGGCGCATACCAGCACAATGAGCCCATAACTGCACACGCTGAAAAACAGCCGCGCTGTGAATGGATAGTTGAAACAGGCAGACAGCCACAGTGCGCAAAACACAAGACAAGCAAGGGCATCCCTCAACTCCAGTGTATTTTCCGAGGACAGCTACAGTCAGCAGATCATAATTAACTAATGCGCATCCTGTGATGAAGTGAATAACGTTCCACAAGCAAAGTCTTTGAAAAATTAACTGAATTGATTGGCATGACGTCAACTTGGATCAGTTCATCCTCGTTAGGTGTTGAAAGGCATGGTATCCTGACACTCCTGGGGATTATTTTTATGCAAAGTGCTTCTCGTGGCTGAAATGTGCTTCTGGACAGTAGTACTGTATGGCAAAACATAATATCGCATTGTTTCTGACACAAATGTTGCAGGAAAAATGCCAACAAAACAATAGCAACTCTGTGGCCCTTCGGTAGAGTAGTCAATTAAAGAAATTATATATCCTCATTTACATATAAAGCCTCTCCATCCTTTTTTGTTAGGCTGATTCATAGTTGTGGGTAAGTAACAACCTAATGAGGTAGATGAGATTCTGACATGCACTAGCTACAGTAATAAAGAAGAGGATAGGAAACATGTTATTGATAGACATTTATTTTCAACATTTGAGTTGGTCAAAAGGCAATGCAACAATATACTTTGATCGGTCACCAACCTGTGTATTTGAATTTTTAGCAGGAGCTATTTATGTAGATTTAGCAAACAAAACATGTTTTTATGTGACATGTATCTAGGAAACAGCCCAAGCTGTATTTTTCCGGCCTAGTATTACTTTTTTTGTGGTACTTGTTGTTTTGTTGTACTTTTTAATGTTTTTGCAAAGTTAACAGGAAGGTAAAACAAAAAGTCAAACATGTATCCCAAAACAATACACAGACAAAACAGCTCGTCTTGAATCTCTCTGTGATTCAATCCCTATGTTCAATGCCATACCAGACAGATTCCTAGACAGTTTCACTGCACTTTAAAGCAAATCTAAGTAAAACAACATTACCGTGAAGAACAACAAAAAAACAAAGCAATTTTAATTTCTTTAGAACAATAGAACCTTTCCACAAGAATGGCACCTGTGCATTTCCACAACTACACTGTGACTGGATTGTTCCTTATCTCTTATCTCAAAACTGAATGTGCTTCCTTGTAACTGGTATTTATATCTCACTCCATATATATATACACACGCATATATATCACCACACATTGTTGACACACATTGTTAGATTTCTGCTTAACAAATTTCCGACGACGTGCTAAATTATGCGTAAATAATGACTCAAGTTGGAGAAGTAAATCGGATTACCATTTTATTTTTCTAGATTGTAAAATATCCATGCTACAAATCTATCAAGATGCAACAGCCACGGAAAAGGACAATACTAATATTACAATAATTATTTTAAACATAAATATATTTTGGTGGAGAGACAAAAGTAGATTCAAATGTTCCCATTCTAGTAAAATACTTTGAAACTTTCCCTGAGTTCCGTTGTCACATACAATTCTCCTTAATTAATTGATGGAAATAAATAAACCAAGACAGTACCATTCTCATGCCACAGTGCAGCAAAGCAAGGAGATACAAAGGTTGCTATAGAATTACTGTTATAACAGTTAGGGTTATTGGAAAGAAACAATGCAGCCAACTGATATACTGTATTGTTGGATTGGTTAACGTACGTATTGCCTGAATATGGGCAACTTTTTAAACAAGAAACAGAATTTTGGAAAACATGAATCTCTGAAGACTACACAGGGTATAAAAGGAATATAAAAGTCAAAGGAATGTTTTTTTTCCAACTGTTTAAATACGCTGTCTCTTGGCTGCCAGCTGCCATCTTAGATTTACTTACTTTGACTATTCCAGCTGTTCAGTCAAATTCTAACCATGATGAAATAAGCCTAGGAATATGAAGGGATACTTCCTTAGCTAGACGAGTCAATACCAAGTTATAAATAGGAAATGAGGAAATCTCAGTGCTGAAGATCAGCGCTGTCAAACCTTTCTCACTTATCAGGAATGATCCAGGGAGGTAGCTGCAAGAGTGCAGTAAGAGAGCAGAAGTGCGAGATTAGAATTTGATCACCTGAACTGCTGTTAAATAACACTATTTTTCAGAAGATGCAACCTTTTGAGAAGAGTAAGTCAGTCTTCCCAAGCTAACCTAATTCCACCGTGATAACTGCTACACTACAATGTTGCATGTCTGTTGTAACAATAGCACGATAAGATGTACCTACACAAATCTGTAGACTCCAGGAGATGTAGTACGGCATTGTAAATCAACATTGTATCATGGCATTCCTCCAATCATATGATCATGTTATCACTTAATTACCTATGTGTTGCGACAATAGAACAGTATGACGCTTGCGAAACACTAATTTGTAGCCTCTAGGTGACGTTTGTCACAGTATTACACAATGACAGTAAATTCCCCTTCAATAATGATATCCAAGTGTTATCAGAAAGCTGCTTATTCCTATTAAGGGTTGCAGCAATTTGAAGTCTACCACAGAAACAAGGGGTGCAATACTGAGCAGCTCCCTTGGATGGGATATCAATGCACACAAACACACAAGCGAACAGAGACACGTTAGAGAGACTAGTTAACCTAACCAACATGCCATAAGAAGGTACACGGAAACACACAAAAACAAAGAGAACATGCAAAATCCATATGGAATGCACACAATCCAGAAACAGATCCAGGATCCCAGAGCTGTGAGACAGTAATGGTAACTATTGTGCTGCCGTGGTACTGCAAAACTGTATTCTTGTAAAAAAATATTCCCATATCAAACACAGAGATCGAAACGTTGTTTTAATTAAAATGAATACAGTCATGATGGGAGGTTACCATGGAACAATCCAGCAATGACTACTTAGCTGGATCTGGGTTTTGAGGGAAAAAAGAAAGATCTTAAACTTAACTACTTACTTTCTTTATGTTTATAGTCATTAACCTTGATGTGCATTTTGCTCTTGATTGAGGAACGTAACATTGTGGGAATGAATATAACCAAACTTATTTTAAATTACAGATACCCCAAATATAATAACCATTATAAATATTCACCAGTATCCATTTTCTAAATGCTTTATCCAATAAAGGTTTGCTGGGGATACCGGAGCCTAACCTGGAAGACAGTGGGCACAAGGCGGGATACTTCCTGGGTGGCCCATTCCAAACAGAGAAACACACTCAGTCACACCAGGGGCATTTTTTCTCAGAAGCCAATAAACCTACCAGTACTGTATGTCTTTGGAGTGCTGGCCCAGCACCACATGTCCACGATACTTACCACTGCACCACCATGCTAAGCAGTGACACAATCATATTTATTAGGTATAAATATCAGAGACAATGAGGGAGAACACTCAAGAAAACATTATAGGTATTTATAGGGATAAAATATTAAAATTTATCCCAACCCACCTGACTGAGGAAACAGAAGCTTGACCCCCTTCCCTGCAAGGAATGAACCAGGGAGCAGCTGAAAAGGTGAAGATGGGGTGGAGGAAGAGGTGCAAGACAAGATGCACGCAAAGAGTGCAAGGAGGCAAGGTATTTCGACTAAGATAGTGGAAGTTGGTGAGATTGGCAATTTGACCTCCTCCTGCGTTGTTGTTCACAAACTGCATCCGTGTTCAGAGTGAGCTTCTGAGGAAGTAAGTTCTGAGTATTACGTTTCTCCTTGGTTCTCTCACTTACAAACCTCACATCCTCTCACCTGTATTGGTCTTGAAGCAGCCACTCTTCAACCGGTGAAACAGGGTTTTGTTCTCTCTAAAATGAATGAGAAGCATTCAATTATTATTATCAACAAACTTTGCACCACACAGGAATCAGACAGGATGAATGCCAATTAAATTAAGCGAATAAAAATATAATATAAATTAACTGAGCAAAATGGTGAATATTTGAAGGCTAATTGCGCTGTTATATTTACCTTCAAATGTTTCTTTTACCATACTTTTCACTTTTACCTTCCAAGACTTTTTGGGAAAAATAAGCCCGTCTTCACTGCACATCCTTTGCAGACCTGAACTGTCCTGTGTCCGACATGACGAGCTGACCTTGAAATTTAGGAAGAACAAAAAAAAAAGAAGAAAAACCTTCAAACCACATAATTACAGACTGGAAGCCAACATTTCAAGATTCAGCATGCAGTTATAACTTTGTATACACTCAGCAATATAAAACAAAGCATAATAACCTAAATGGTCATGGTCTATTCGCTTTGCCCTCGATCCACACCAGCGGATTTCTGATAAGCCATTTCAGAGTTTTACTGAGTTATGCCCAAGTGGTGAACATGAGAACACTTAAACCCAAAGTCCACCCTCCTGTCACGGCAAATGATTCATGACAGCACCTCCTGCTAATTCCCTCACGTCATGCTTGTCTTGAAAGGAGGTCTCAGAACATACTGGCAAGCATGCTAGAATACAGAACATAAACCCAGCCAGTAATCGATATCCGAATGCAGGGTTTATGCTTGTTACAGCAAAAATCGCTCATACTAGACATAATCTTGCATATTTTGTATCAAAAATTTGGAAACTGGTTATTCATAAAGAGATTTTCTCTATATTAGCAACTAGCATCACTCCAATCTATAAAATGAAAAGTTACAGTATGTGCTGCTTTGAACGGAAAATGAATGAAAAACGTTTTTCATGAATTAAAAAGTGATTTGGGCGGCATTGCTAACCCCAGGGGTTCAATCTCAGACCTGGGGTGCTATGGAGTTTGTGTGTTCTACCCCATGTCTGCAGAGATTTCCTCCAGGTGCTCTAGTTTCCAATTCAGGCATGTGCTTATCACAACCAACAGGCACACGGTGGGACACCACTCCATCTCAGGGGATAGACTGAAGGAGAAAACCCACACGAGCACAGGGAGATGATACAAACTAGGCAGATAGCACTCCAGGTCTGGAATTGAACCTAGGGCTTCAATACTGTGAGGCAGCATTCCTAACCACTATACCATCATGCTGCCCCATATACCGTATACTGTATATACTGCATAATATACATTTACACACATTCAAATCTCTGGCCGTTTAACAATGTGAAGTAATTTCTCATCTCCCAACGTGCTGTGCTGTGTAGTGGAGTGTCAATAGCTGTCATCCAGGAGGCTCCTGTACTTCTGTGAAGGATGAATTGGGAATCCTATAGCTAAAAGAATTAGGTTGGAATAAAAGTAATACCTAAAATTACTAATATTATGCTGGCTTACACGATACCCAGTAAGTTATTCCCTATGAATATCCTAACAGGTTCTGAAGACACACACATACTGAAAGCATGAAGGAATGTCGTTTGTCTTAAATTGATTTTATCGGTGGCTACTGAATGAAAATAAAACTTGAAAAGGTATCAAGGGAAGAAATTCTGAGCCAAAGCCGGTGTACGTCAGAACTGTACATGAGCTTCCTCAAATGTAAGACCTGCTTAGCAAGGTTTTTTTAAAACAGCTAGGATTATTAGTGACATTTGTTAACACAACAATGGTAACAATGACCTTAAAACCTGCATGAGAAAATGAAAACGTGTGATTGACACACACCCCCTCTGATTCATGTCTCTTAAAACATACAGATTTAGTGATTTTTTTAATGCTCTCAGCAGTGAAGTCCATTACTATTTGGTTTTGCTTTTCTTTCTTTAAAGGTTTTTTCCTCTCTTGGCAATCTTGAAGGATTTTACTCCTGCAAGCTTTTTCCCCAAGAAAGATTGTCTTGTTTTAGCTGTAAGTCTCTGAACTGAGCCAGGGGCAACTGTTGAATTTCACGCATATCTTTTTATGAGGTACACGTTTGTTAATAAAGAACAAACACAACTTTTAAGCTGTGTGAATGTGTGCAATAAATGGCCTGGCTTCCTAATCTTTTTGCAGTAAGTACTTTATATAGTCTTGTCAGTTAATCTTTCTTGACCTATTTTGTATGAATTCCATGAATTCAGTTCTTGGGAGTGCACATCAGAGAAAACTAGAGTTGTTATTTCTCTCAATACAAAGAATTCATGAATGAATGTACATACACAAAACATAGATCTATACCATCACTAATTACAAGCCATAAAGTGTGAGAATTTATCAGCTAAGCTGAACTAAGCAGAGAGCTATGTTATTTTAATCATTACATTCACTGGTAGAATAGTTATTACAACAGTCTTCTACAGCAACAGCTTTGTTCAAACATCCACTCTATATGTTAAGAATTTAGGATTTGATATGGGAGTAAAATAGCAGGTTAAAACTCTGGGAAATTAAAATGACATAGAGGTATTGCAACTGGGATGTTGTACCAAGCACAGAAAGAGACGTCATTGATCATCTTGACCACTTGTAGGACCTTATGCCGGTGTACCCCGGCATCCTGGCCAAATTTCCCCATCGGCCTTTATCAATCATGGCCTCCTAATAATCCCCCTCTATTAATTGGTTTCATTACTCTGCTCTCCTCCCCACTGATCGCTGATGTGTGGTGAGCGTTCTGGCGCATTATGGCTGCCGTCGCATCATCAGGTGGATGCTGCACATTGGTGGTGGTGGAAGGGAGTCCCCATTACCTGTAAAGCACTTTGAGTGGAGTGTCCAGAAAAGCGCTATATAAGTGTAAGCAATTATTATTATAATTATTATGCATATGGTGATGAAGTCACATGTCTGTGCCACAGGTTTTACAGCACTTTGGGAGTAGTGGAGCCTCGAACTGTTGGTTTTCCATTTTAATGTGTTTCCGAGATGTTGAACAATTCTAATTATAATAATAATAAATGCTTACACTTACTGTATATTGTACTTTTCTGGACACTCCACTCAAAGCGCTTTACAGGTAGTACTCCCCCCCACCACCACCAATGTGTAGCCCCACCTGGATGATGCGACGGCAGCCATATTGCAGAGAAATTAAGCCAGTTCACAGATGGGAATTATTAGGAGGCCATGACTGGTAAGGGCCAATTGGAAATTTGGCCAGGACACTGGGGTTACACCCTTACTTGTATTCGAGAAACACCCTGGGATTTGTAATCACCACAGAGAGTCAAGACCTCCGTTTTACGTCTCATCCGAAGGACAGGGCTTTTTTACAGTAGAGTGTCCCCGTCACTATACTTGGGCATTAGGACCCACATAGGCTGCAGGGTGAGCGCCCCCTACTGGCCCCAATAACACCTCTTCCAGCAGCAACCTTAGTTTTTCCCAGGAGGTCTCCTATTCAGGTACTGAGCAGGCTCACACCTTCCTAGCTTTCAATGGGTTGTCAGTTGTGAGTTACAGGGTGATATGGCTGCTGGCTAGTTGTTTGCCAACAAGTTTCCAAGGGAAAATGATAAAATTACAATGAGTCAACAACAGATCCACATTAACAGTCAGCCTGGTGGTGAATGTAAAGAATGTCCTGAGATTTAGGAGTGTAGACTACTGAAGCATCTCATTTCAATGATAACCGTACATTTTTTCAGTTGATTTTGAGCTTTAACATTTCTGTGTATTCATACTATTTGTATAACAATAGGTACAGTACATAGCTTTATACTGACTGTGCACACACTTCTTGAGCTTTAAACGTCCAGCTGCTTCTTTTCTCATTTGCACTTGTCCTACAGTGGTAAGATGTCTTTTCTCAGCCCTGCCCAAAGCCACACTGACTGACCTTCTATTTACTTTGGCTCGGGAATCAATCATATTTTTATTTCCTTTTGAAGTTCATTTTGAAGTTATCATCACATTCACTAGAACTGCATTGTTGCAAACTAATTTGCCCTAAGACATTTGATAGTACAGTAATAACTGAAATTATGATGCACTAGTTTAGCAAACATAACGAAAACAAACAAGGAAAAATATATTTATGAAAATTTTAAATATTTGACCTACTTTTAGTGAATAACTGAATTCAAATATATCAATATATTTAAAAAGTAAATGCTTTCTATCTTATTATTATGTTTTGGAAACAAATCTAATTGATGAATTGCTAAACTATGTCTGACATAATCTGAATATCTATGATCTTGTCAAACTTTATCTGAAACAATGCATTCATAAGAAAAATAAACAAATATGCTGAGTGAGGCACAAATAATGAGCATCAGTTTAATAACATCAGCAAAATATGACACAAAGGCTGGTTTGCCCACCGTTAAAGCAGGACACACAAAATTTATTTTCCTGACCTGTAAATATGATTACACTTCATTTGCAAGTTCTGGGTAGCTGGGTGTTGGCAGTCTATGCTTTGTGGTTTCATGTCCCAATTGAATTCTGTACTGTGGTAGAATTGAAACACGCATGATATCTCCTTCTCTATCTGCTTAATATGTAGCACAACCCCCACCTCCCACCCCTATACGCTGATGGGCAGTAAAACTGTCATTTAAATAAAGCTACAATAAGACTTGTCGATGTTTCTTTCACTTTAGAGTAAAAACATACTTTTAAATAGAATAAGGAATGTGGCAAAGTGTTCTGAGGGACGTTAAACCGAATAAAATGATTGTTTAATTAATTAATAAACCTACAAAAGGGACAGGAAATAACCTTCTGACATTTTACTTGGTAAAACTCCTCTGAGTTACACAATAATTCTCTTACAATTTATTATGTTAGAATAAACAGTATATCGCATGCCAAATAAATTCTTTAATAAAAATGAAACTGGAACCAATTCTGAGTTAGGTAAGACATTGAGTACAATGGCAATGAGAAAAAAAGCCGTGCACATCCAAAACTAAAATTAGCAAACAATAATGTGAACAATAGCTGGGAGAACATAATTTAGAGGAAATATATTGCCATTAAGGCTCTTTTTCTATATAATCTATCGACTACCATGACACATATGTTGGAACCTTTGAATCTATATATTAAAATATCGACATTTTATGTTTTTCAACATACCCGATAAAGAAAAAATAAATATTTTTTAAGTTATGTTACACAAACACTTTAATCCTTTATTAAAGGAAACATTAGATTGATACTCATGGAGGCAAGCAGATTTCCTAGGATGTATAACAGGCATTTTTACCACAGGTCTTTTAAGAAAGAATGTAACTTTTTTTTTTCATGTGAGTAAATCTTTGCTGGCATATTGCATGTCATCATATACAGTTGCAGTTGGTGTTGGTGCAACAGGGAAAAAAAACAGACTCAAAAGTATTTTCCAATATGGGGAAGAAAAAAAAAATGTTTAATGTAATTTGCTTACTGTAGGAAATTAGTGAGTTACCAAGAATAGGAAATATTTATATATGAAAGACATATCCAGAAAGTACATTTAAGAATTGTGAAGACATGGACATGTAAAAAAAAAAATTGACAATGACAATGACAATGATATTCTTATACTCACTTACATAGGTATGTAAAAACAGATAACGTTTGAGTTTAAAATGATTGATTTGATAAGAATAATATATATGAATAATATATAGAAATAAGAATAATATATAATATGAATAACAATATTTAATACCTACACTATGTATATAGTATAAAGCTACTACAACAGTCTCTGGAAATAATTATTTCCTGATATTCACAATAAGTGAATAAAAACGATAGTTAACACATTTCAAAAGAAAAACGGTTTGCTCTGTTTCAGTTTTGAGAACCAAGTAATTTTTAAACCATCTTTATTCATCATGCAGGTAGTGGCAACACATAGGCACTTTTTCCAAGCAAATACAGCAGTGTAAAAAGCTGAAATTGCCTGATAATAATGTTGAATGTCCATTCCGTATTACGTTATTCACAGTTTAATTTAAAAAAGTACATTTCACAAGAACTATGTGGTGGAACTGCTGTATTTTCAAAAGTCTTTACAATGATGTAAATAGCAAAAAAAGCAACTCCATCATTTATTTTTAAAATAATTTCACAAAAATATGGAGTTCACATGGCATCCAATAAATAATAACAATAATGAAGTTGGTTTCTGCAGTTCTTAATGGAAGGAATACCAAGAAGACAATGTAAGGACCCCAAAAATATAATATCACACAGAGTTTTGCATAGATACTGTATATATAGATATTGCAACAGAGGAATCTAGTACGAAGGTTTGATAAGTGCTATTTTGTAATCTTTGATGTTTGTTGCAATCATATCCAAAGCTGACTGAGAAGAAAGACAAGGAAAGGTCCCAGACTGTTTTTGGCTGTGT